GTTAGAATTGTCTTAGTGAGCTGATTCGAATGGTAGTAGTTTCATCGAATTCTGTCCAGTGGTTCAAGAGTTATGGTCATTTTTGTAGGTTAACAATATACATGATAAATGTTGAAACAGAATTATTGTAGATTTAGAATCAGCTAAGGTCAGAACAGAATTTCAAATGTATCCACTGATTTGTCAGAAAATTTAGCTATTAGCAATGTCAAAATATACAATAAAATACCCGATGACCAATAAATAAATTCAAAAAATAATGCAAAATTACCTGCGAATCTTATATTTAACAAATACAAAAATATTTTTCCATTCTGCAGAAATAATTACCTAATATTTTATTGATTATTAATGGTTTACAGATATTATCAACATGTCAAGAGACATAATTTACCATATTTTTCTGAAGCAATTTGGTTTTAATAACATGTTTGATCATGACAAGAACAGGCAACTAAGCATGAATCATTATTTTAATTGTATCAAATCAGATTACTAAGATTTAGAAAGTTTTTTTTTTAATAAGAAATAAATATTTACTAAACATCAAACAAATACTTACTGGTTCAGTAGTTACTTCGTGAGCTAGAATTTCAACTTTTTTGAAAAATGTCACGTTAAACAATAATCTACATAATATTCTGGAAATGAGAATATTCATATATAAATATTAATTTACTATAATAACTTTTAATTCATACTTTGCCTTTATGGTCTAATATTGTCACAAATGGAATAGACTTGCAGTTCTTAAAAAAGTAAAATACATATAACAATGTTCCATTATATATTGTTTAGTTTTAAGATTGTTAATAGATATGTAAAATTGCAATGTTACTCATTAAAACTAAGATCAAACATTCTGTCAGCTTCATCAAGTACTAAGAAGCTAACTCATCGAAAAATCATTGCTTTCATTTTGATCATAAGTCTTTCCTGATTTCAAAATATATTAAAATTTTGTTCATTAAAATTTAAATCATTAAAAATAGTTAATATTATAAAACAATTTATTTTTACTCACTAGGGTACCTACTATTATTTCTATTCCACCAGGTTGGAGTTCTTTAAATTGATCTATTTTTCGAAGCACCTCCATAAACTGCTACAATTCTGCATTTGGTGTAAAGCATTTTGGGAAGAAGCAGAGAGAGTAGTGTGTGTGTCATTTTTGATTTCATTCAACTAGTATGAACAAATTTTATATTTTTGATTTTTACCTCAGATCATAACTCTTTGCAAATTTTTTGGCTTCAATGTATATCTGGCTGTCCAATTCTCTTGTCAGTACTAATATTAAACCAATTGGTCCTTCGTCTATTTTAAACAAGCACAAATTTCATATATATGATTAAGATTTTTTTTTTTTAAAAAAAAAAAAAGAATATGTATATGTAACAAACTATGCCTACCTTTTTGTAATTCTTCTTGATCCATGATATGTGTCAACATGGGCCAAATAAAAGCAACAGTTTTACCAGAACCTTATACAATTATAAAAGAAATTGTTTAGATAATTGAACTCATAAAAGTTTTTATAATTAATCAAGATAATAATAATAAAGTCTACCTGTTTTTACAATACCAATAATGTCTCTACCAGACATTGCAACAGGTACTACCTGATATATAAAAGAAATATTTGAAAGTTTTAAGTTTCAAAAAAAGAAACAAAAAAAAAACAAAAGTGTTATATTGTAATACCTGCTTCTGAATTTCTGTTAGTTCTTAGTATCCATGTTTAATAATAATGTTAAATAAACTCTCGTCAAAGCCAAAGTATGTAAAGAAAATGCCAGGCTTCACAACATCAGCACCAGACACATGCATATCTATAAGAAAATGAAAAATAAAAATAAAAATAAATGGTTTAATTATATCTTTAAATTTAATATTACATTCTAAAATCAAAAATCACAAAGTTCCTGATGTATTTCCTTGACACATTCATCAGATAACTCAGCAATATCTGGATGTTCTTTATAAAAGAATTTCTCAATTTCTGGATGTTCAATTTGAGAATAATCTATTGTATAATAGTTTGATTATTATTCTTATATAAAACTTTGACATTAAGATTAAACAATATAGACCAATTTCGCGACAATTATTTCACTGACAAAGTTGTAAGATTTAGGTAGGGTATAATAGTGTTAGCTAAAGGTAAATTTTTCACTAATTGACTGTCTGAGAATTTTATCAAAACCTTGCAAACCAATATTTACTAATGACTTGGAATGGTTCAATGTCTTTGCACTTTTGTTCTACTACTGGATTATCATCAGAATTGTACTATAGTTTACATATTTTTTGTTGTTAATACTAGCAGGTTAAATTAAATAGATCATATGCATATTCAAATTTCATACTTCAGTAACCTTCGCAGTAGCATACACTTTCTCATTGAATTCACGTTCTACATTTTAATATATATTAGATATATGTAATAAACTAAAATGTAAATATTACTCGTTCTTTTTAATTGGTCATTGACTTTTACCGACTTCAATTCCTTTTTTCTTCATATGATTTACATAACTTTCAACAAAATCTTTATCTTCAATATCATCTCTGTGAATCTAAATTAATAATTGATAATAATTATTTCAACTATTTCTGGCATTAATATCGTAAAAATGCCAAATAAATTATCTGTACTTTTTCTTGTATAGATTTGCTTTGACTTTTTTTTTGAACTTGGCTATCAATATCAAGCATAAAAGCATCAAGAGGATTGTCAATTTCATCATCTTTTTGCATATCCAATTTATTATCAGGCATAGTCTCATAAACATTAGTGACATTCTTGTTAAAACTAAAGCCCTAAGGCACAAATCCTCGAATTCCTAATATGTTTGTTATCAATAATTATTTAACAGCCTTTATACATGCAAGTATAATTCGTTAATAACCGGTTGAAGTTCAAGGAGTTGGATGCTATCATCTTCTAAATCTCCAACATAATCTTCATTAGTGTTGGGTAAATTATTCACTCCATCTTTATCAAAATCATCTAAAACATCATCTAATTTTATAAGTTTTTATTTTTTTGGTTGAGAATCTTTATTGGAGAAGTAATCCAATGCAGTTGACTTTTTATGGGTTTTGGCTTGTTCTTCCAGATCAAGCAATAATTAGTGCTTGGCTCCTGAGCTCTGCAAAAATCTGAATGAAAATGGCTTTAAAAGTTTCTTTAAATTTATTATTTACGTATGTACAAATAAAAAACTATCATCCCTATTGTTTTATATTAAATATTTTGCTAAGTTTTTTATTGGCTATTAACTGTATTAATTAATTAACAAAATAGTCCAAGTAACATACAGATGAAAACTTATTTATGGTTTAACTCAAAACATCGCAACAAATGAATATATGTTGGTATTTAATGAATTTGGTTCTAAAAGAAATAAAAATAATGGAACATATGCAAATTGCAAGTAATATAACACATCTTATGCTGGTGTCAAACAGGTCACATTCAAAAGACAATATAAGGATGGACAAGTGAAAAATAAGGATATCAACAATTGCATTAAAGATTTCAATATAATCGTTTAAGCTCTACCTTTTACTTTTCATTAAAACATACTCTACATATTTTGTACTTCGCTCCAGTATATTTTAGTAAAAAGTTTTGTCCGAATTTGATTGTTGTAATGTTCAAATTTGATTTGACTGCTATGATATTCAAATATAATTGTTGTAATGTTTAAATTTGCATTGTAATGTCTGGATTTGATTGCTGTTTGTATTTATCTACTATGATGTTCAAATTTAATTATTGTAATGTCCAAATTTGATTGCTATAATGTTCGAATTTGATTGCTATAATGTTTAAATTTGATTGCTATAATGTCTGAATTTGATTGCTATGATGTCTGAATTTGATTGCTATGGTGTCTGAATTTGATTGCTATAGTGTCTGAATTTGATCACTATGGTGTCCGAATCTGATTTCTATGGTGTCTGAAATTGATTTTACTGATGTCTGAATTTGATTGCTTTAATGTCTGAATTTGATTGCTTTAATGTCTGAATTTGATTGCTAC